ATAGTCCTAGACTGCCGTAGGGCTTCCTAGTAAACACTGAGCTCCCCTCACCTCTTCTCAGTCCCCTTGTGTATGAATTCATATCGCGTTAATGCAGGTCTCTCCACCGGAGGCTGTGCTTTCTCGCCTCGCAGGTTTCCGTGGATAGTGGTTATATTTGGATGCTGCTACATCCTGCTGGTAAGGCCCCGCTGACATCTACTGGTACTAAGATTACTTTGATCAGCCAGATTACTACTAAAGTCCCCATAAACACACATTATGGACTATTGCTTCCTTCCTGAAATCTCCTCAGGTCTCTGTGGATGTTGTTGACACCATTACTGCTGTTGTTATCATTGGAGGGCTATTATATCCACTACTGCTGTTATCAGTAGTCGTAATGTCTCCATCATTATTCTTGAAATGAAATCCATTGCACTTCTGGCCATCCCGGGAGAGGTATCCCTTTTTATTTTGTTTTTTCTTTCGATGAGTAGGTTCCGTAACAAAGGATGTGACGTGTACAGATTGTAAATCTCTCTGAGGAAAATTTGTGATTTGGGGTTATAGAAAATAAATTGAATTTCATTGTATTGAACATGTCCCTCTCTTCAACAACAGGAGCCTCTTCATTACAATGTATCATAAAGTCTTAAACCAGTAGACACTCTAACTCTAATTGCACACTTACACAGGATTTTAATTCTCACCCGCATCTCTAATCATCCTTGATAAATGCCTTCTCTTTCTACTGATTGAATCCCTTTCGAGCCCCTGGAGGAGGTATGCGTTTACTCCACCTGAAGTCTCTCATTTGACAGGCTGGCTTTGTCCTATTGTAATCGTACACACCAGATCCACCGGTTATCTTCTTAAATCTTACGTGACCAACATCACCCTGTTGCAAAATAACCATGTGGATAATCGGGTGTGAGTGCATCAGATCATCTTATATCTTACTACAGCTCTTGGTATCCAACAAAACACACAAGTTCCGGCAGTGAAGATAATCAGGAGTGTTAAAGATGGGGGCATTCTTTGGATGACACCCCATACAGCAGTCCATTCCCGTCAACACCAACAGCACTGCAGCACAACACTGGCTCAGCGCGGGCATCGGCTGCACGTGTCTATTTCTTTTTGAAGTCCTGACCGACGTAGTGCCTGAGGCATACTATTTTTAATTGCAATAGAGGTCAACCTGCTGTCGCTGTGATTAACAGCCTGGTGTAGTAGAGCAGAATCATAGTTGTAATATAAATGTGTTATTGTTATGGCTGTGAAGCACAAGGACAAAAAATGTACTTTTTAATATCCATTTTAAAGTCAGCTCAGGCTAAACTCTAAGCTGGGTTTGGGACAGCCGGTCAATATTTAATATGGGAAGATTTTGAGTTTTCATGAAACGGACAGGATGTAGTCTGAGTGGGTGGCTGACCATATGGTGTCAGTGTTCTGAATAACAGATGACCGTAGATCAGATTCATCCTGAGAGTACGACAGGGAGAGGAAAGAAAGAGAGATGCCTGTGCTTTGGCAACACCGTTCATCTAATATTCATGCCAATAAAAAACAAGCTGAGCTCAACTGACGGAGGAGAGAGCCGAGAGAAGGAGAGAAGAGGCAGAGACAGAGGAGTGAAGGAGAGAATGTCAGAGAGATCACAGAGGGAACAAGACACCATCCCGCTGCCTGGATCAGAACAGAGGGGTCGAGTTCTTTGCCAGAATAACGTTACACCAAGAGCCAAAACAGAATGCACAACGTATTTGAAGAAAATATGACATTGCAGTGGAAGCAACAAAATGTGTTTCAGTCAGATGAAAAACTATGAAACTGGACTGAGCTCCTACACAATGTGCCCACTCTTCTTGTTTGGATCTCTTCTCTGTAAATAGTCCTCACCATCTCCACATCTATCTGTTCCTTTACATCTCATCCTATTATTGAAAGTTTTGCGTTTGTAAAAAAAAAAAAAAAATTAAACTGTGCATGTTGTTGATTTAGCGCAGTGTTTATAGTGTTGTCATATCCGAACCGTTTATCTACTTACATTGCAAAGCGTGTACAACATGATTTGGCATCAGTGAACCTGATGATTATAGTCATTCTAGTAAAACTAATTCAAAATTATGAGGAGTAAGAAAAGTAAAGGGAAGTGCAGGGCGGGGGTGGGGCCGGGCTGTAGGGAGAGAGACAGAGAGAGAGAGGACATACAAAGAAAGAGAGGAGGGGGGGGCACCCAAAAGAACACCTGTTGAGATTAAGGTTGGCACGCGACCCACTCCAACTCGCGTGGCAGCTGCACCTCACTGGAACAATAGCAGTAAAAGAAAGACCGAGAGTAAGAGAAAGCGAGAGCCGAAAGTTTGAATGCACTACTTATCCTTTCAGGTCATGTGTGTGTGTGTGTGTGTGTGTGTGTGTGTGTGTGTGTGTGTGTGTGTGTGTGTGTGTGTGTGTGTGTGTGTGTGTGTGTGTGTGTGTGTGTGTGTGTGTTTGTGTGTGTGTGTGTGTGTGTCTGGGTGTGTGTATGGCATACTAATGTGAGCACTAAGCGCAGAGACAGAGAAGTACTTGCAGCCCCCAAAAAAAGAGACTTGCACATTCAAGTTAACTGTGGAGCCCAAACTAGGTGAAAGGTCTTGTTTATCTTTGGGTTGTGGAAAAGAATAGAATCGAATAGAGGACACCTGCTCGAGGTCCTGAATAAGGTGTTTGCTAAAAAAGCCCGCCAGCTGTCACTTGGGGTGCACTGAGATCCTGAGGGTTTGTAGTAGTAAAAAGAAAGTAAGTAAGTAAGTAAGAAAATGTGATATGTTGGTGTGACTTGCTTTACAGCATCTTCTTAAACATTAAAACATTTTTTAAGTGCTCTTATCTGACGTCTGGGTCCATTTCCATCGAGGCGCACACGCTTCTATGCAGAATGTATGTCTATAATGTTTTCCTGCAGTTGCTTGTTAAAATGGCATTGAGTTTATGAGTTAACATTCTTATTTCCATGCAGTTCTGCTCCATGAACACACAAATTGGAGCCCAATTACCCATTGCTTTACTTGGATGCACTGCAGATATGAGGCCATATTGAATATAATTGTACGCAGTGGAATGCATCCAGTAACACTGGCGACTATACTTTCATACCAATTCCTCAGTGGTGATCCAAGTCATTTTCTAAGTGTCGTACCAGCTACCTCATGCATTCTCTCTCTGTTACCCCCCTCCCGCCACTACACATACACCCATTTCCAATTAGTTTTGATGTGCAGAAATGTGCTCTGTTAAAAGTTCAAATCATTTCATTGGCGACATATTGCAAACGCTGCTGATTTTTACAAACGCTGTGGTACTTAAATTCTCTTTTATTTCAATGCATGATCTCCATGACCACTGTCATGGCATTCATAACCACGCACGCACACACACACACACACACACACACACACACACACACACACACACACACACACACACAGAGCATTGCTTGGATGCCTCTCCATCGCACAGAGGCATTATGTAATTCACCCTTGATAACTGTTCTGGCTGCTTGGTCTGAACTCAGTTACCTTTCCTAAATCTTCTGCAACACAGTCGAGCTGAGTCCTCTCCGGCTCTGCGACGCCATCTAGCGACCATCCAACACAGCCTGTATCCGCCGTGTGTCTGCTTGTCCCTCCTCCCTCCTCACCATCTCATTTACTGATTTAAAGTGAAATAAGAAAGAATCATTTTTTGGGGTGTAATGCATTTGATCGGAAGAAGCAACTTGTGTCAGTATTAAGTATTAGAACCAAAAGCTACAAAAATAATAATAATGATTATGTTAACGGGGTTAGTGTAAATCTGGCACGTCAGGCTCATAAACACTAGTTTTACATGTTATCAAGACTCAGAAAGAAATCCATAAAGTTTGATAGGCAACGCCGGTCATGATCGTTTTGTTTGTTCTGCCAATGCTAGAACTTCGAACTTGGAAATGGCACTTCATCCGTGCGTAAAATGGAGAGCCGTTGCGGAAATGCGCACTGCCGTGCGTTCTGCTGTCACCTGCTCTTGTTTGTGTCACTCCACGGCAAACTGCACCCGGTGTCAGTTTAGTGAGGGTGCGGATGTGTTTGCTCGCTGAGACAATCTGCACACATCGCCACCTGCTTTTCTTTGCCTCACTTCTCTGTATGTTGTGTGACAAAGGACCGCCCAACCCCACCTCATAGAGAGAGAGAGAGAGAGAGAGAGAGAGAGAGAGAGGGGGGGCAGCGTCAAGCATATACAGCTTGGTTCTTTTTCTCACACCAGCTAAACGATCATGATGTCTCCATGAGATGTTGCTCTGTTTATGAGGCGCTCTATCGGAGAGGCTTAACTGTTGAACATGTTGTTGTTTCCAAATGTGTCGACCTCGATCAGTGACCACCTGTAGACAGATAATCACCTACTAAAAACAATTAAAAATGGAAGCGATTAGTAAATGCCCGCTCATTTAAGTGGTTATTATTCATAGTATTATTGTCACTATTATTACTGCATTATTCACTTATTATAGGTAATGCAGGTGTTGTGTCTCCACATTCTCTCTATTCAGTACATGTGGGTGTGGAGCGTTCATAAGCAACAACACGTAAAATGAGTTAATGGGTTAATTTCCAGGGTCTATATCTGTACTATCCAGGCATCGCAACCTCTTCTGCGCGTAAAGGTCCCCGTGTGGTAAAGCACACTTAGCTTCCTGTATAGCTGCTGGTTAACGGTAAACACACGAGCTGCTGGCGAGGGGTAAAAGCGCTTCCATAACATAAACCGGTGTCTCTTTAAAAAAAACTGAAGTTTCTTGTTGTATTCTGGAATGAGGTCAGACACGAGGCTCCTCATTGCACGCGCTGATTATTATTAGATTCCATTTTGGGCCAATCAGCGGCGAGGGGCGTGGCTTCGGCGCAAAGGCAGGGTAGTGACAGACTCCCATTGGTGGATTTTTATCGCCGTTGTAGCTCGTGAGGAAGTATAAATACCAGCAAGTGGGACCGAGACTGGAGGGCTGCTTGAAACTCGGTCTACAGATGGAAGGTGGAACTGTGTAACTCCAGGTGTCTTTTTCTCCTCCCCAGCACGCATGGCTTTTGAGTCTGAGAAGAGGGAACGGAGCTGATGCAGAGAAAAGCACTCGCGTCTCACACACCGCAGGCTTTGGGAGCTCTTTTTTTTTGGGAAGTTGCCCGAGCGCACAGACTATGTTCAGCCTGCACACGGCTGACTTGACTTTATAACACAGAGGCGAGAGACTGAGGAGGCGCAGACAACAGTGCACTCAGCGGAGAGTGCGGCTGTGCTGTCTGTGTCTTTTTTTATTATCACCTCCTGGAAACTGGAAAGTAAACTGCTTTTTGTTTTTGTTTTCACACATCCAGCCTTTTAAGGCTACACGGGACTGAACGGTTCCGAGTTTACTGCGCATCCCGGGAGTGAATTGTTATATATATTTTTTAAACTGAAGAGGGGGAGAAAAAGAGCTGAGTTTGCTTTTAAAGTGAATCGCAGGACCAAGGAGAGCGAGTACGCTGCTCTCCCTCCCCGTGCGTGTAGCTGGGCGGCATGGTGCAGAAAATGAGCCACGCGGAGAGCACCGCCGAGGCGCTCTCCTTTTTCGCCGGAGATTCCAGCTCCGACTCCGGGGCGTGCATGGACCTGGACCCGGCCGCGTCGCCCCTCTCCCCGGGCTCCGCGGCTTCTTCGACCGCCGGGGACAAGCTGGGGGAGAACCCCGCGTGGTGCAAGACGCCCAGCGGCCACATCAAGCGGCCCATGAACGCGTTCATGGTGTGGTCGCAGATCGAGAGGAGGAAGATCATGGAGCAGTCCCCCGACATGCACAACGCAGAGATCTCCAAGAGGCTGGGGAAGCGGTGGAAGCTTCTCAGAGACAGCGACAAGATCCCCTTCATCCGAGAGGCGGAGCGTCTCCGGCTCAAGCACATGGCGGACTACCCCGACTACAAGTACCGCCCGAGGAAGAAGGTCAAATCGAGCGCCTCCAAGCCGGGCGGAAGCGGGGACAAGGGGGAGAAACTCAGCAGCAGCAGCTCAAGCAACACCAGCACGAAGACATCCTCCTCTTCCAGGAAGAATGGCTCCAAATCACCGAGCAGCAGCAAGTCCCACAAATCATTTTTCGGGAACAACAACAACAGCAGCAGCAACAACAACAACAGCACCAAAGCATCACCGTTTGCCTCCGAGCACGCGCCGGAGCACCACCACAACTCTCTCTACAAGTCCAAGTCGGCCTCGTGCTCGGCGGCCAGGCTCATACCGGAGGGCAAGAAGCCCAAGCGGGTGTACGTCTTCGGGAGCAGCGGGGGCAACTTGAGCGTCAGCCCCGCCTCCTCCTCCTCCTCCTCCTCCTCCGTGGTGGTCCCGGCCAGCCCCACGCTCAGCAGCTCGGCGGACTCGAGCGACCCGCTCAGCCTCAGCCTGTACGACGACGCGGCCAGCGGCAGGGGGGAGGGAGGCGACTCCCCCGGCGGCGGCGGCGGCGGCAGCGGCAGCAGCCCGGGCGGGTCTTCGGAGCGCAACGGGGGGCACACGTACAGCAGCAGCAGCAGTCGGCGGGCTTCCTCGCCGACTCCCTCCGGCTCCCACTCCTCCGCGTCGTCCCACTCGTCGGCCTCCCCCTCTTCCTCCTCCTCCTCCTCGTCTTCGGAGGACGACGAGGAGTTCGAGGACGACTTGCTCGACATCAACCCGAGCCCGAGCTACGACAGCATGTCGCTGGGCAGCTTCGGCTCCTCGGCGCTGGACAGGGACTTGGATTTGAACTTTGAGTCCGGCTCCGGCGGCTCTCACTTCGAGTTCCCCGACTACTGCACGCCCGAAGTCAGCGAAATGATCTCCGGGGACTGGCTGGAGTCCACCATCTCCAACTTGGTGTTCACGTACTGAGGCGGGCCAAACGCGGGAGGAGGAAGAAGAAGGAGAACAGACCCCGAGAGGTGATGTCCTGGGAGCTGAAATGTGACCACGCACGGAAACAGCCGTTCCTGTAAGAGTGGGCGTAATAGTTTGCGTTATAACGGGCCTACAACAGACTAGTAAACCCCGCACGCACGCACACACACACACACACACACACACACCTAAACCAGCCCAGATACGCGAGAGCTGCACGTTCTTGGAGAAGCTGAACTTTCAAGCGAATGAGTTTTGCTACGTTTGCGCTTTTCCTGGGACGCGTGGACCGGAGACTCGCGTGAAAAGGGGGGGGGAGAAAATGAAGGGACGCGCTCGGCTTCCTTGAACCGAGCGAAACGCTTTGAGTCCCAAAAACAGTTTGTGAACTCAACGACCTGAGCGCGGCTGATGCGCACGCGGCGCAGTCGACACGTAATCAGCGTGGTTGGTCGCTCTGTTTCTTTTTTTTTTTTAAAGGGACATTTTCACAACTTTTTACCGATTGCAAAGTGAAGTTCACCACTAACAAGGTACAGAAATAGGACTGTCGTGCGGCATCTTTTTTTTAATTGTTGTGTGTCACCGAGAGGGATTTTTAATGAAACCGAGGTGGGTTGATGTTTTTTAAAAGTCGAATATTTTCTCAAAAGCAAAAAAAAAAACATGTTAAGCATGATAGCCTACTTTGTTCCTATCTTGTGCTGAGATTTTCTGTGGGATTGTCGAGCAGTTTAAAACTAGTATTAGGTTATTTAAATGGGTAGGTGGCGCTCGCTTTCGGTTCTTCTCTTTAAAATAAGAACATTGAAATAATCACCAGCTGTTGTAATTTCTCGAACTTCAGGATTCACACTCAGCTTCAAATCTGTGCTGAACTTTATACACGTGTTCTCTACTATTCAGGACCAAAATGATTTGATTTCAGATGATAGTTATAGAGAAATCCTCACCGATTTTTTTTTCATCCTCTGAGCTTTGTTTTGTACATGTATTCAGATACCATTTTATATGGGATGTTGTATTTATATACTGGGCCAAGCATTTTTGACTTGATCATTTTTTTATTTCTTGTATACATGATCTAGTCCTCTTGTTTTCTTACACGGTTGTTTGTCAGTATGTCTGTCACATTTCCTTCTCAGGCGAAGGGCTAGAGTTTTCAAAACACAAAACCTTTTGATTTAATTTTATATTTAAATGGACACACTTTTTGGACACTTAAAAGAGAGGAAACAGTTTGATTATTTTCTCAGTGTATTTTTGTACAAATCTATATAGAAAACAGGGGAGGTCAACAATCGGTTTGTGTAGCCTGCTAATACAGCTGAATTGGATTTCCTAATGTTAGTACCCCGGCAGGCTGGTTTTCATGCTGCCTTCAAGTGACCATGGTAAGCTCGTTCCTATGACTTTGTGTCGCCTGTTCAGATGCTTTTTTTTAAAGACAACCAGCAAAACAGACCTTCTATCACTGTGGTGCCTATTGTTTGTTCTAAGAAATTAAAAGCACCAAGGTATTTTATACTTAAGTGACCTAACAAGAGGAGATAATATTACTCAGTTGTGTTAATGGTGTTTTAATCCACAAATCTGGCAAACTTTCTTCAACTTTTACCAGCACATACTGACAAGACTCCTTTGATGTCCAATCTCGACATAATCGTCAGTACGGGCATGATATAGTTAGAGGATACAATTACGATTTTTCCGACAGCACTTGAACGCAGCACCAGCCTTTGTATCTGCCTACCTTCTACGTTTACAGTGCCACTCTGCAGGCTCCTTAAAGATACAAGAATGCATTATTTCTAGAGGCTGCCCTGTGGACCATTTGGGTTTAACAGCGTAACCATCTAAAGCAGCCACTAGTTGTTGTTTTTTTGCATTTTCTTTCATATCACTTGCCTATGACAACAAATGAGGAGATTGTAGCTTTACATTTGACATATTTCTTGATGTTCTCATTAATTGATGTCACATTTGCCAATCAACTTCTGTATTGAACAGGCTATCAATAACAGCAAGCAAACAACAAGGATGATAACATCAAGCATATTCAAATTTCTGACTTGAGTTCCGCAACACCTACTTGTTCTGCGTTTCTCATTGTATTTGAATATATAATCTTTTGTACTTGTCAGCTAACTATTAGCTAATAATTGTTTTAGTATCTTTATGGCATGGTGAATAGCATTTGTATTTCAGATTCAGGTTAATAGCTGTTGTGTTTTTCAGAAAAAAAAGAAAAAATTAGGAAAAACGATGAAACGTGAACTCGGTCTTTGTATATTTGACTGTATCATAAAGCAAAAAGATTGTGTGTTTATGTACGTTGTTGCTATCGAGGACAGGCACTGTCTAGAACTGCTACCTTTTACACATCCTTACTTACATTTAAGGTGGTCAGTTCAGGACTGTTTTTTTATATATATATGAAAGCATTTTTTAAATATATTGACTTTATTTTTCATCCATCCTGTGCAATATGCTGTGTAGAATTATCATTTATTGTCTCTAATCATGCCATAAACAAAGGAACCACCCTTTTTTTGAGACTCAGAGAAAGGGGGGAACTCATGCCAGCTAAATTGTGTCCATTCACTGCCTGTCAGATTGTTGATATAAACTTGTGTACAGAACTTTTTCAAGGAAGGAAATAAATATCAGCTGGAACTGAAACTCTACAACTCTTTCTTGATTCTTTGTCTCTCTTTGACTTTTCCCAGTACATATAAAAGGATAGAATTAAAAGCAAGAACAAGGCCCATTGAAGCTATTAACTCAGAGCCAATCTACCTTTTAAATAACCATAAGTGGTTACCCTGTGTGAAGAGATATTGCAACAATAAACCACCTCATACTTTAAAGGGAAGCGCAGTAGGAAATCAAACTGAAACATCAACTAATTTGGTAATTTGTTGATTAAAAGTTGTTTAGTAAATATCTTCATCAATAGGAAAAGGACAGTTTTCAAAGTTTCACAGTAGGAGAGAAGCTATTATCTGCAGCTATGGTCACTGTCTGCAAATCCGTCTGAAAACATTTTTGTACACAACAATGTTTTCTACGAATGGCCCACAGATGGTCTTCCAAGGTTTTGGAAAGCTCACACACAGACATACATACACACACACACACACACACTTTTATACAGCATTTTTATTCCAATTTTCAATGCAATAGGTAGGGCTGATTTTATAGCAGGGTCCCCCCCCCCTATGGTCTTGTAAAGCCTTTCGGAAGCTTACAACAGCACCCTGGAGCCAAGGAATAGATGCGTTTATATAGACTCAGGCGGAGCAAATCAATAAGATTATTTTAACCCTATCGTGACACATTGGATACATTTGAATGTTAAGCCCCCATTAGGCTTATGTACACTCCATCATGCATTCTGAATCCATCTTAGGGAGCGTTGATCTAAGACCTGGATGTGCTATACTGATGATTATAAGGCCATAAAACGTGGCATAGATCAGAACTATAGACAAATAGTAACACTTACAAACGTGAGGTATTCATTAAAACCCACCTCGGATTACTTTATGGTTTTAACTTGTAGTGGTATCTTTAATAGACCAAACAAAAATACAAAATGATTAACATCATTACCATAACATGAATCTTTGCAGGTGTACTACACAGACTTGCAGATTTTTTCTCTTTGATATTTTGCAAAATAATTACTGCTTAAAAGACGATCAACTGTAGAGAAAACCTACCGATGTAGATATGTATATCTGCACCCTTTGTCACATTCATCCCCTGGGTAATCTAAGTGCACAGAATCCACATGAAAGGCTAACCTGTATCAGCCAAACCCAAACGTATCAGCCGAGCTTCGGAGCAGTGGGCCACTATTAACACATTTGTACATTGTACAGATGGCGGATCCATTCACCTAGCGACCACAGTAAACAGGTTTTGCAGTGATGAAGATGAGCAATTTTGCCACCATCCCAGTACTAAGAGGACTGTTTCATCACCAAAGCGCTCCAGGAGTAAACAATTATGCTGCCTGTTTACGTTTGCTAAATTGCCTAAAATATATTCTAGCTAAAAAATAAAATGTTGCTCATTTACAATATTAATAAAATCATGAGCACATTTAAGGGTCACTTTTATTGGCTGAATGATAAGGAATAGCAGTAATAAAAGGCTGTTCATACATGAAGACACAATTATCAGTTCAAAGGGTAAATTTTCTTGGGCTTCATCCCAGGAAGACTGATTCCATTTTATTCCAGCCCGTTGTGCTGTATGCTGGCTGTCTGCTGTTCAGACAGTCATGTTTTCCCTTCCCCCTCTCCCAGACAGGCCCTTATTATAGGGGGAAGGGCTGGTTTAGGAGCAGTCAGCCAAGGGCCCTCCAGCATAGCTGATGAGCATGTCTGTCTGTCTACGTTATGTGTGGGACTGTGTGTGTGTGTGTTTGTGTGCGTGTGTGTGCATGTATGCATTTGGTTTAAATTCTACGGATAAAATGTAACCACATGACATGGCGATCTCTGTAGTAGGACCAGCCACTGTATCTCTGCCTCCCACAGATAGATATATACATATATATATATATATATATATATATATATATATATATATATATATATATATATATATTTCATTATTATTGTGGTATAAGACAACAAGCTGTGTACCAATGCAGTAAGAACCCTACAGCATGTTCTAGTTATGTGGGACTTCCTCGAAGCAATACATAGGCATGCATTGTGCTGCATGAATACCAGTGGTTGTTTCATGGAGTTATGCGTTTTCTCATGTTGTGATTAAATAATTAAATGAAGATAGCAAGACGTTAAAGACGTTTGCTTTCATAAAAAAAGTGCTATATTATGCAATGAGAAAAACAGTATCATTTAAATGAGCACATGCCAAATTAGGTGATTGCTCATGTAGCGGCAGCGGCATCTATATGTTAAGTGTTCATAAAAACACGATTATCAGGTTAAGAGCTACATATACAATATTACGCCATAGGACCTATAGCCTCACGCCATGAGGTCTGATTCACATTAACAGACGGATAATGGGGAAGGAGATGGGTGCAAGAAATGAAACAGACAACACATTTGAATTCAACATTTAGTTACGAGTGTACGAGAAGCAGCCATGCTTGCTCTTGTGGAGGAAATACACTGAGTGTGCACTTGTGCATCATCCATAATCTTACGAAGCGGCTTCAACTAAGCCGTTGCAACATCAAACCAATAGGCAGATAGGTGCATTTGTTCCAGGCTTAATTGGGTGTTGGTGACTAACTGATTGTTCAAAGTAAACACTGTTGATATTGCTTTATTTTTATACCCACCATTTGTATCATTCATGGAGATGATATCTTAAGTGTGTGGTGCAAATTGTTCTAAAAGCTCCAGCACTCCCTGTATGTGTGTGTATGTGTGTGTGTGTTAAACTCCTCTAAGCTGTATAGCCTGCTCAGTGTGCAGTCTCATGGCCGGCTCAGCTGACTCCGTGGTGGGAGACGTGCAGCAGGCAGCCGGAGCAGAGCGGACTGACTGCTGGAGTCAGTGGCCCAGTAAAACCACAGCAGGGAGGATAAGAGCCCCGCCGGAGGGGGGGCGAGAGAGGCATGACTGTATCTCTATGTCCTACTGTCTGTATAGGTAGCTGATCTGCGCTCAGGCAACGGGGGCTGGATGGTGGGGTGGATTAGTTGATAGTAGAGTATATTTCCCCTCACTGTTTTTTCCTTTAAAAAAACATGTACTATATATATTTTATTTCTTTTTCTTCCTTTTTGATATTGCATAACACCACGTGTTTGGAGTTTCTGTTGTTTTCAATTCACAGACTTGTTGAATTCATTTTTTATCATGCATGGCGTATGAATGGAGGACACAGTGTTCTCTTGAGTGTTCTAGCCTCCACTTGACTGACTCTCCCAGATCTGAGATCTTCCTGTATGATTGTCCTGCAAACTGGAACTTCCCCCAAAACTGGAACTCACAGCGATGTTCCAGGTGGTTGTGACTGAGAGTAGTTTCTGTGTGCCTGTCTGCTGTGTGTCTGCCAAGAGACTAAATAACTAATCGGTTTGTGTGTGGGGTGTGTGTGTGTGTGTGTGTGTGTGTGTGTGTGTGTGTGTGTGCGCAGTATAAGAGGAGGGTGTGTGTGTGTGTGCGGTATAACAGGAGGGACTACATTTTGATCCGCCTGTTCTTGTGGATGTGGAAGTATAGTTCTACATGTACACAACAACATTAAGATCCCTTCCTTTTTTACCAAAACATTGGCAATTAACTATGTAATTAGCTGTGTTAAGGTGTTAATAGACTGAACTGATAATTAAAACTGAATAATATCACAAGTCTAGATAATAAAACTAACAAACTTGCATGCACATGGAATAAATCAACTGATTTGAATGTGTACTTAAATAAGGGGTGTAATATCAAGTAATTTAATAATAACAGTTTAATGCCAAAATATAACATTACATGTTTATTATATATATATATATATATATATATATATATATATATATATATATATATATAATAAACAAGATGTATGATCTTACAGGCCTTCTTTTGATCTCAAATGATGCTCTTTATACTCTGTGCATTAAATAACAACAATACCATTTTCGGTGCTGCTGCTCAAACACAACATATAGTCTCAGCCAATGGATCCAGGAAAGTTTGTTGACTGACTGACTGACTGACTGATGCTACACTTGACACTGAGTAAACAGTCTTCGTGTATTACTTAATAAGTGACGAAGCAAAGATTTTGACTGATTGTATCGTAAGTGGCCACTAGAATAAAAGAAGAGAGTGAGAGAGATATCTGAATAGGGGGAACATAAATAATACAATAATAAAATGAATGAAATAAAGACAAATACATATTTGAAAGCAGATACTTGACTCACTTAAAACAAATAAAAATAAAGTTAGTGGGTTTCAAAACAATAAAAGAAACTAACCTGATCCCAAACGATTAACCGTCGTGCCTGTTTTAGTAACAACACACATCCACCGGCCGTCCACAGTGTTTTGCGCACATAGTTGTTTGACTTTGAGAGGGCGGGACTCTTTGGAGAGCGAAATGAACTAGGCGCGGCCAAAAGGCGCCCCATCCATCTATCACACGTGTAGACAAAGGGGGACTCCACAACACAAAGCTGGATGCGCCCTCTCAAACTTTTTCCACGACGCGCGGAGAGGCGCGCAGAGCGAAAAGCCTCCAGGTGAGTTGTCTCCTGCCTTTTCCTTTTCTCCCCGCCGCGTTCCTTTCGAATTGATTTCCAGTTAAAAGTTGCCGCTGTAGTTGGTGCGTCAGCGCTCAAACTTGGGAGCACAAAGCGGGGCGAGAGACACCGAGAACCAGCGGCGGCGGCGAGGAGAGAGAGAGGGAGAGAGAGAGAGGGAGAGCGAGAGGAGCGCTCCCCTTTTCCTTTGTCTGATGCGGGGCGCTTTGAGGGGAGAACTTGAGGGGATGCTCAGGCACGCAGGCATCTTCATTACGCTCAATATTACAGCATATGATGCTTAAAACGCGTTGTCACGGAGGGGAGATGGAGTTCCTGCTGCCGCCGTATATTTGCGTCTCTTGGGGATGTTGCGACGCACCAAGACAAAGCAACTGCCTGTCAGAAGTTTGCGGAGAAAATGACCTGTTATGCACGCAGAAAAAGTAGTATTTG